TTAAAAAAAAAAAAAAAAGAAAATAGTTTGGTCATTTCTAGTATAGTTGGAAAAAAAAGAATTTGTTTACTTTAAAAAAAAAAAAAAAAGAAAATAGTTTGGTCATTTCTAGTATAGTTGGTTCAAATGCTTATCATACAGTCCCTTGGGCTCATTCCTAGGGCTTTTTTTTTTTTTGCAGAACTGGGGATTGAACTCAGGCCCCTGCGCATTTTCCACTGAGCCATCTCCCCAGCCCCCTAGGTTTTGGTAGTTGGGAAAAAAGATCTATGTTGAAATACAAGCCTATACACAAATGTTTACAGGAACTTTCCTGATAAACAGATCCCAAAAGCTCTCTTATCTATGCAGTGGGTGCGTAGATAAGCACACCTGTATGACTATATGATGGTCTCTTATTTGATAGTAAAAGGGAAAATCAGGGCTCTGTGGCCCCACAGTGGGGTGCTTACCTAACAGATGTAAGGCCCTGGGTGCAGGCCCTAGTACTAAAAAAAGAAGAAAGCTGCACACATACATACTTTCTTTTTTTTTGAGGAACTGGGGATTGTACTCAGGCCCTTGTGCTTGCCAGGGAAGTGCTTATTCCACTGAGCCATCTCCCCGGCCCTGCACACATACTGCACACTGAAGGGCTGAGCATAATGTATCAATTCCCCAGTTCTGGATATCTGTGTGGCTTCTAACTTTTTGGAAGACTCGACACAGGCTGGAGCGGAAATGTGTGTTGAAGACAGGAGGCCCTGCACTTGCCTGTGCACCAAGAAAAGAGGAGAGAAAGGGGAGCTCCTCAAAGGCTGCTGGAAGGGGGAACCTGGGCGGAGCAGAAGGCAACTGGGCAGGTACGGTGCCCAGTGGAAGGTGTGCTGCAAAGGATTGCAGCTTTCACCTTCCCATGCCCGCTCCTCCTGAGAGCAGGACAATCACACTCCCACCTGCTGCGCCTCTGCAACAGGAGACGATGGCACGTGCACCTGAAGGACAACTATCCCACCTGCAGCTGCCAATGACACCTGGTGTGCAGTTTGCAGAGCAGGTCCCTGGGCTGGCCAGGCCACCTCTTCTCAGACCCTGGGAACACCAACACTACCTGCTTAGAGTAGATCCTGAGCAGTTTATTGACAGGAAGGCCTTCTGTGTCCCCATCGAACTCCAGCCACAGGACAGGCTCTTCCTCTTCTGGGGAGGTGTGGTCCCAAGACAGCTCCTGGAAGCGCAGACCCAGCAGAACATGCTGGCCCACGGGAGACAGTAAGGCTAGAGGCCTGGCGGATGCTACTCCCCACCTGGTGCCCCTGCCCTGAATCAGGAGGGGACACCTGTGGGGGCATTTGCCTCTCCCACACTGCATTTAAGTCTTTCAAGTGTTTCTCTGAAGAGAGGGGCTCTGGCTTTCATCACTCTCCCAGGAAGGCTGAGAATCCCTGATCCTCAACCTTCCCACCAGCAGGCCCAAGAGAACCCCATGGGAAAGAGGAGGTTGTGCAGGAGGTCTGCACTGCGACCCCTGCTGTGCCTGTACTCCAGGGCACAGCTACCCAGGAAGGGCTGCAGTCCTTTCCCTGGGTCAGACACCAGATGAAACCTTTCTGCCACACTGAGACGGGCTCCTGCCCAGGCACAGGACAGCAGACACACATGGATGGTCGTCCACACAGTCATCTACACCGGCAGCCAGAAGGGAGCCAGCCATGGAAGGCAGGGACAAGCAGGACCTGGGCAGCCCAGGAGAGCTCCCAGCCCCAGTTGAGCTATACCACCACCAGGAGAGGATCCAGGTGCTGATCCCTAGCAGACACAAAGCCCTCAGGACACATGATCAAGATCCAGGGATGTCCAAGGGAGGCACAATCACTCCAAAACTGTCTACTTACCCCTCCCCCCCATAGGCCCAGGAGAACCTGGAAGGCTTGGGCAAGATCCTACTCCCTTCTGCTCACTAAGTCACTAAGGCCACCCCAGCCTCCGTCCCCCAGGAGTTGGTACCTTCTCTCTACTGTCGATGACATACACGCCTTCCAGACTGATGGCCACGACCACTGGCTTTCGTCCACCACGGTGCAAAATGCCCTGGGCTGGCTTGTCAACCTCACCATGGAAGAAGGCACACCTGAAGAGGGACAAGGGTCAGCCACTGACTGCCCAGGACATGTGTGCAGGGAGCACTAGGCCCTGGAAAGCTTAAAGCATCTGGGTCAATCAAAGGTAGAACCTGGTCCACAGAGACTTTGGAGAGGAGAGGAGATGAAGGTGACACAGAAATGTCCTTTAAGGGCCAGCAAGGAGCCCTGCTACCCGCTATCCATGGCAAAGACCCTCAGAAGCAAGGAGCCTCACATGAGGATGTGAGCAGTGCCCAGAGAAGCAGACTCTTAGCTGAAGACACCAGGGTCTAGGGAGAGGTGGCCTGGCCATCCCAGGGACCTGCTCTGCAAGCTGCACACCAGGTGTCACTGAGTCCAAGGTGTGGTAGTCTTGGTGCCAAGTCACAGAGCCAGCCCTATCCTTACAGCAGGAGGGGCCCAGCCTGGAGCAGGCCTCTCCTCTGAAGATCCCATGCCCTCAAGTGGCAGTGGTGAGAAGAGAGAGGATCCACAAGGTGTGCCATCCTGAGATAGGAGGAAGGAGAGGACAAATACCCACCTTGGCACCAGGACTGACCCCATGGTAGTACCACCTGGGAAGCAGAGTCAGCTGCCACAGACAGGGTCAGTCTGCAGGGCTATGCAGGGATGCGGGGAACACCAAGGCAGTGACTGCTCACCCATAGAAGGGAAGCTCGTGGCACTTGAGGAGGTAGGCACGATAGTGGGAGCCCAGGGAGGCTTCCTGGGCACCGCTGTTGCTGACTGTTTCCTTCACCTGGCGGTAGGCATTCAGCAGGCCCTGTTCACCTGTCCCCACTCTGGCTCCTCGGCCCCGGAGGGCAGCAAAGAGGCCATGGCTCCGCTTGCAGAGGTGGGCAGGGAGGAAGGAGTCCAACTTCTCCCTATGGAGGACAGAAGATGGGAGCCAAGGTCTTTAGGGCTTCCACACACAGGCAAGGGTAGAGCTCACAGGAGGCCCAGCCCAGGGTCCTTCCCTGCCCAAGGGGATACCAGAAGTTCCCACCACGGAGTTCTCTATGGCCTTCCCAACAGCAGCCTGCTCAGAAGGGCCACTGTAGAGTCAGGGGTAGGGATGCTATTAAGAGAAAATGGGGCACTCAGAGGAAGGGGACACACAAGCCACACCACACTGGAGGGGCACAGATGGGGTCAGATCTCAGCCCCCTCCACAAGGTAGGCTCTGTAGCCTGTCTCAGCTTCAGTCATGACAGCTACATTCACCGTCTTCCCTGCTGTGCTTGCTTATCTGCAGGGGATGGTAAAGCTACCATCAGGCCCCATTGACAGTTACCTCAGTCCTAAAACACAGCCAGGTTCTCCAAGGACAGGCCCAGGATCAGGGAGGTAGCCTCATGAGACCAGCCCAGGTGACTGTCTAATGCCACCTATCCCGCTGTTCTCTTGCTCTAGAAGCCAGCTGGTGTAGCCCAGAAACCCCGACTGCTTCCCGCTTTAGTCCAAGCCTTATCACACCGTGCATGGCTCCCCCACAGCCTGACTTGCCACTGCCTCCCTCCCAGTCAGCACCCTGCCCCTACACAGGAAAGTCATGGGGGAATCTCTAGGCTGGCAGAGGGGACACATACAGAGGTCACCAGGCCAAGTCTCCTGGAGAAAAAGAGATGCATAGTCCTGAGTACCTACAGCATGCTGGGTACTGAGGCAAGGACTCCCACCCTGTCCTTCAAGAGGCCTGTTGGCACTCAGGTGTCCAGGATGGCCTGGGAGGCCTCAGTCTAAAGGAGGCTGTGAAGCCAGGAAGGGTCCACAGTAGCACCCAGCTGGGAACCTGACTGGAGGAGGGCTTCAGGGCAGTGTCCATCACTAAGGCAGGGTGCGAAGGATTTCTGAGCTGAGAATTTTTACAGCCATACAGTTGCCAGGGGCCTAACACCCCCAATGTAAGGTTCTGACAGATATGACTGTCAAAATTGCTATTTTACTTTTTTTTTTTTGTGGTACCGGGGATTGATCTCAGGCCCTTGTGCTTGCCCGGGAAGCGCTTATTCCACTGAGCCATCTCCCCGCCCAAAATTGCTATTTTTATTAGGGATGGTGACACATACCCATAATCCTAGCACTCTGGGAGGCTGAAGCAAGAGAGCAAAAGTTCAAGCCCAACCTGGAGGGCTGGGGATATAATCCAGTGGCACAGTGCCAGCCTGGCAAGTGCAAGGTCATGGGTTTGATTCCCAATACAAAAAAACAAAAACAACCAACTTCACAAAAATCCAACCTGGACAATTTAATGAGACTGTCACATACAAGAAAATTATGTAGGCATGGTGGTACATGCCTGTAATCCCAGCACTTGGGAGGCTGAGGCAGGAAGATCACTATGGGTTTAAAGCCAGACTGAACTACATAGTAAGCCTGTCTCCAACTAAATTTGGTGGGGGACAGGGATGTAGCTCAGCAGCACAGTACTTGTCTGCCAAGTGTGAGGCCCTGGGTTCAATTCCTAGTACTGAAAACAAACAAAACCAAAACAAAACAGGATGGTGGTTGGACATGAATGCTCACATGAATGCTCAATTTCTAGCACTACACTAATCAAACAAAACATCAGCCACAGCTTTGATCTATGAGGCCTCCCAGGCTCTATGTTCCTGTGTGTACCATGTGGACACAAGTCCCAACAAGCACAGGAGGTGTCAGCATGGGCCAGCCTGAGGTTGGTGCCCAACAAATATTTCTGCAGCTATGATTTCCACCAGAAGAGGGGGTCTTATGGGGGTGCCTGGGGCCTTAGACACCCTCGACCATGGGCAGTGGCAGCTGCTGAGAGGCCTAGCCACAAGTGACCTGTGCAGGGGATCCTAGGGTGCTGTTCACCCCTTCACAGGGTGGCTCTGGGTATTATATTACCTCTGCCCCATTCAATCCCTTCTCCAGTGATGGCTCAGCTCCCTGCATGGAAACCCAGCCTTTTCTGGTCTTGGCTGATGGGGTCTATGTAAGCACATGGAGTGACCCATGGGAATCTGGGCTGCAGCCAACCAGACCTACATGGCTATGGTCACTGCAGTGAGTGTGGGGCCTCTGGGTGTGCAGAGAGGCCTTCTGTTCCCACAGGCAGCTGTTATGCCCACATAGCCATAAGGCAAGAGCATGTCTGACCTCATGCTGGCCCAGAAGACATGGGTGGGGCGAGAACAGACAAGCAGGTTCGGGAAACCTCACTGACATGGCACTAAGCTAGGTTCCAGGTACCCTGATCATCCGGGCTTAAATGTCACCCTGGCTGACAAAGGCCCATGCATCAAAATACCTGGAGCTAGGTTTACTGTCATCTGCAAGCAGAACAAGGCTGCAACCCCAGGGCTACCAACCTCACGACACTTAGTTGAAAGTTCCTGTTCCTGCACGTAGCTCTCTTGCCTGCAGTAAGCAGGGCTGAGGTGGGAAGGAGCCTTAGCAAGGAACAGATCGGACTCAGGTTCATCAGGGCCACCCTCCATGGAGGCCTGGGCCTGGCCAGGTCAAAATCAACCCCTGCCGCCCCGTGAATTCCTACAGCCAACACAGGCTTCTGGAGAGAGGCTGGGGACACAGAGACAGCCTCCAAGTGTCCTGGGACAGCACTCATTGCTGGGGATGGGAACAAAGCCGAGCTGTCACTGGAAAGTCAGTTATTCGGGTTAAAGAATAAGGTCAGCTCCTTCCTGACTGCAGAAAAGCCAGGGCACACCCTCAGGCTCACCCTCTGTGGATCCCTCAGAGTCCTGTGTTTCCCACTACCCACAGAAGAGGAGGAAAAGGAAGCCTAGAGAGGCTGCAGCAAGCACAGCAGGGAATGTGACCTTCTGGGTCCATGACTGTGCCTCACCCTGTGGGACCTGGCACCACTTGTAGGCAGGACCCCGGGGTCACACTGCCCTTACCTTAGGGTGCAGGCTGCAGGCTGGCCGGGCTGGTAGGGCCCAAGCTGCACACGGCACACCAGGGCGCCCAGGGCCTCACAGTCCTCCACATCACATGGGTAGCGAGCAGCCAGCACGTTACCCTTGGCCTCCTCATAGAGCAGCCGCAGGACCTCCTCATCACGGATCTGTGGGCCAGTACAGCAAGGAAGAACGCCTCAGTGGACTGGAATTAGGTGTGAAGGGCTAGAGGGCCAGGGATGGGATGGCTGGGCACAGGGTGAGGATCTGGGTAGCACTCGTGGCCTCACCTGGAGCTCCCGCCACTTTGGGAAGAACACATTCCTCCGAAACTGCAGGGAAGGCTCATCTGCAGAGATAACTGGGCTTGTGCCTGGCCAACCCACTCCACCCCACAGGGAAGATCCTCAGGCCTCAAGCCACTCAGCCCCTCTAGTCTACCCTCTTCCCACTCCCTTGGACTCCCCCTGCCCGCAGCCCCACCCAGGGCAGCACCTACCCATGGCCACGTCATCATCAGGGGCGTCAGTGAAGCGCAGCAGCAGCTCCGGCCACTGGCGACCCAGCTTGTAGGGCTGGTGTTTGGGCTTTAGCTGCACCTCTATGGGATGACAGAGGAAGTGGCCCTGCAGCTTTGGCCTACTAAAGGTGCCTACCTGCCTGTCACACTGCTCCTAACTGCAGCAATGCAGGGCACCTCAGAGCCAACAGTCAGGTACTAAGTGCCCAAAAACCTTCCAAGTGGTTTATATACACCGATGCTGTAATAATCCATCTTCCATTTCAGCCACAGAGAAAATAAGGCTCGGACAGGTCACACTGCTCATCTGAAGTCACAGTAAGTGCACGGCTGCATGGCTCCAGGCACAGCCTGCCTCTCCTCCTTCCAGCCCTGGGGCAAGGGACAGCTGAAAGGCTGAGGTAGAGCAGGGTGCTGAGGGTGATGGCACTGCCACTAGGAAGCAGAACCTGGAGCTGGTCACAAGGGGCCCAAGGCTCAAGACGCCATCCTCACCAGCCCTTGACACGGCAGGAGCCTCCCCACCATACGGCTGTAGCCGGTGGCCTCCATGTAGCCAGCTCCTGACTCAGTGGCCCAGTGCCAGGCGCTGTCCTTTCTTGTTCCCAGCCCCGCTGCTTCTGCTATGCCCCCTCCTGGAGCACCTGAGCATGCCTGGCCTGGGCACCTCTACCCTGTTGGTCCCCTGCCTCCAATGCCATCTCCCAGATTTTCACGTGGCTGGCTGGTCACCCCCAAGATAGCCCCTCCTTAGTATGTCCCCATCACCCCATCGCACCGCTGTTTGCCTCTGCAGCGTTTCCACTGCCCCAGCTTTCACCACCTCCACCTGCCCTGGCCTGTCACTGCCGCCGAGGCAGGAGTTGCCTGTGGGTCATTGTGGGTCAGCGCTCCATCACGGCCCTTTACCTCGGGGCTTAGGGCCCGCAAGTGACAAGGCAGGTTCTGCTCTACACTGCTGTCTGTCTACCAGGTGACAAGTGGCTGCCCTGATGCTGCTTTTAAGAGTTAGGAAGCCATGTCCAAACTCACCCAGAAATAAACTGAGGTGAAGAGCAAGTGGCACAATGCTTGTCTTCCGCCCAGAGCTCCCTCTACGCCCATCTCTCTCCTGATGGCCAAGTACCTCATCCTGCCAGCCTGATACCAAGGGTGCTGGTCTCTGCTATTCTTTGGACTGTCCAGACCTTCCATTTGGACCTTGTTCTTTTTTTTTTTTAATGGAACAGGGGATTGAACTCAGGCCTTTGCGCTTGCCAGGGAAGCGCTTATTCCACTGAGCTATCTCCCCGGCCCTGGACCTTATTCTTGACCCCAAACAGTAGCCAGAACCTTCAAATTGGTTTCCTTGCCTCCCACTGCTTCCATTCAAATAATCACTGTATTCAGCTTCTCCAGTCCTTTCTTATCCTGTCATTCCTTGTTTTGTTTTTGCTTGTTTGAGATAGGGTCTCACTATGTAGCTCAGGCTGGTCTACAACTTGCCAGTAATCCTCCTGCCTCATCTCCAGAGAGCTGGGTTTACAGGTCTGCGCCACCATGCCCAGCCTGTCCTGCCATCCCTGATCCAGGTTTCCCAGATGCCCTATAGCCCTCATTTCCTACCCAGATCCCTGGCCACACCCCTCCCCCCTCCCCCATAGGAGAAGGTGCCATTTGTCCCAACAGCCACCTCCCTCCCTCTCCAGGAAAGGCTCCCCACCATCCTGCTCATTGAGCCTTTCTTTATGCTCTTTCCACCTGGAGATTAGTGGTAGCAATCTGGGGTTCTCTGAAGGCGGGACATTGGTTGGTCTCTTCTCCTGTTGTGTCCCCAGACTGTAGGACACTGCTGGCACCAGAGAGCTGGGCACATCCTTATGGAATAGGCACAAGGTCCACCAACTACGAGGACCAGGAGACGGGCATCCTTCTTCCTGCCTTCACTCCTAACCACAGCAGCTTAGAGAATCCTATCACCAGAGGGGAACTGGGCAGAAGCCCTGTTCTCTGAGATTTCCGGATAGCATCTTCTTGCCTGGGGAATGTCACCTAAATGAGGCTGCCAATTGCTGCTGCTCCATCCATAGTGACAAGGGCACTGCAAAAGCTAAACCCTACCAAAACCTGTAAGCAGAGGATAGTTCTGGACAGTGCTGTGTTCCCACTTCACGAACACTCAAGAGCCCAGGGTTGTCACTGCCTCACTGCCTGGGCTACCAGGGCCTTAAGGCAAAGTGGGAGCAGCCTTTCACCCTTCCAAGGCAGCCCGGGAACATAGGTGCAGACTGTGTAGCAGCCTTGCCATCCTCCTCCTGGACACAACAGCCCATTCAGTTCTGGCTACAGAGGCGGAGGCGGGAATGTGAGGAGGGAGGAGACATACAAAGTACTGGAGAAGCAGGCTACCCAGAGAGCCTGGAGAGGCAGGGCAGGGCCTCCCACCTCTTCCAAAGACACAACCAGGGGCCCACAGTCCTGACTAGAGACCAGAGGTCAGGAGGGGGCCTGGCTGTGCAGTGGCAGGAGGCCACTCAGTAGGAAGAGGGTGGGCGCTCCAGGCAGCAGCTGCTCAGGAAGCTAAGAGGATGAGGGGGTGGGGGGTGGAGCTCTCTCTCTTCCAGCAAGCCAACTGAGACCTTCCCTCTAGGGCAAACACAAATCCCAGTAGTCTAGGACAAAAAGTCCCCCACCCGCCCCTGCAGTCTGATCCAGCAGTCCTCCCGGGACCAGTCTTCTCAATGGGGCAGTCTTTCCCATCTTGGCCCTCCCTATTCTTCTTTAACATGGGAAATATTTAAGATTAGAAAACATGCCTGGCGTTGGGCATGGCGATGCACTCTTGTTGTCCCAGCACTTGAGAGGCTGAAGTAGAAGGATCACTTCGAATATGAGGCCAGGCTGGGCTACATATAGTAAGTCCAAGGCCTGCCTGAACTGCATAGTGAGACTGGCTGTCCAAAAACAAAAACAAAACCCCCAAACAAACAAAAAGGCAAACACGTCTGGAGCTGGGTGTGGTGGTGCATACTGCAATACTAGCTCCCAGGAGACTGAGGCAGGAGGACTGCTGCAAGTTCAAGACTAGCCTAGGCTAAGTACATATCATACAGTACATACTCCGTCTCAAAAAAACAAGACATGCTTAGCCCCACAGCCAGTTCACTAGAGTCTTCTTGCCTAAGGCAGCAGGCTCAATGACCTTATTCACCCAGGGGTCATCCCCATTCCCTTAAGGTCCCAGCCTGAAATCTCACAATATGGGTAGGGGGGCAGCTGTGCCCTCTCTACCTTCAGCTAAGTCCAGCTTCTAGTACTGTGCCCCACACTCCTTGCTCCCCAAAGAACAGGACACTATCTTAGTCCTACCACTGATCTCAACCCCCCAACCTCAAATTCCTTACTGCAGGGCGCCTAGGCCTGAGATAAAACTATGTAAGGTTTGGCTCAGGTTGCTGCACAGATAGTGTTCCGTTCCTGCTGCCTCATAATCCTGGCCCTCCTGACACCCAGCCCCCCTGAAGAGGGGCAGGTTTGGGCCTCCTCTGCCACTAGAAGAGAGGTGGCGCCAGAAGTCTCCTCAGGGCTGTGGCTTCTCAAAAAAGACAGCACCAGGACAACCCAAGTCCCATGTTCATCGCTGCACAGCAGCCAGAGGTTTGGGCCTGTGGCTCGGGCCAACTGCCTGCTGGGGCACCTCGCGGCCCAGCCAGCCACACTCACCTAGCAGCGGGGAGACAAGCCAGAGTGCAAAGACATCCAAGGCGGTGTCAGGGAGCTGCAGCACATCCCGGACTGCCCGGTGCAGTTCATGGGCGCTGAGCGAGGGCAGGTTCTCCACAGCCAGGGGCACCACTGTGTCGTCAGCCAGGTACACCAGCACATCAGCGGCTGTGAGGCAGGGCAGGTGGGGTCAGCTGAGGCCAATGACAGGCCTCTCTGTTACTCCATGCCCCCTGGGGACTCCAGGCTACACTCCAAGGCTGAGCCTCAGCATCCCTGAAAGATGCCCTCTTTTGTAGTAGTTGGGGATTGAATGCAGGGCTTTTGTATTACTAGCCCTTTTTTTATTCGAAATTTTGAGATGAGTTAAGTCAGTAAGCTGCCCAGGCTGAGATAGAACCTGTGATCTTCCTGCCTCAGCCTCCCAGAATACTGAGATTACAGTCATGCACCAACTCTGAAATACCTTCTTTTTGGCTGTCATTTTTTTTTTTTTTCTTCTCAGTGTCTTGCTGTGTAGTTCAGCCTGGCCTTCCATGAGACCCTCAAACCAACTCTGGTCCAGGCACAAGCTCCACATTATCCCTTCCAAGATTCAATCAGAATAAGACAGAGCAAGACTGTTCACTCAACTGCTCAGGCAACTGCAGGGGCTCTGCTGTATTTCTGCCTTGAACAAGACTGCTCACCAATGAGGAAGGTGCACAGGTGAACTCAGCCTGGAGGCATGGCTATTAGCTTCTTGGGCTGGGAGTAGGGATACCTGGTGATCCTTGGTCATCCTTAGGCAAGCCTCTTGTCTCTCTCAGGCCCAGACTTAGCCAGGAATGAGGATTCCTAAGGCCACCCCAGGTGAGAGCAACTTACAGGAGTCAGTTTTCGTAGAACTTTTCAAACTCAGGGAGCAATACATCAGAATTCTTTTCAGGACAGCCTTAAGCAGGCTAGGAAAATATAACACAAACAGCCAAGGGTTCCCTATGACAGGTTGGAAAACCCCAATTTGGAGCCCAGAGTCAAAAGGAGGGCCTTTGCCAGGCAGCCAGATTCAAGCCTCCATCCCTGGAGCCACAGGCACAGTAAAGGCCCACACAAGCGGGTTCTTTTCTCTCTGGCAGGCAACTGACTTCAGCAAGTCAGCTTGAGTGCACAGTGCCTCACCCATCAGAGCAGAGCTAAAGCTGGGCATGGTGGCACACACCTGTAATCCCAGCACTCTGGGAACCTGAAGCAGGGCATCATGAGATCAAGCTCAGCTTGGGCAATTTAATGACCTAGTGAGACCCTTCCTCATTAAAATAAAGGGCAGGGGATGTAGCTCTGAGTGAAGGCCCTGGGTTCAAGTTGCAGTACCACCAACAAAGGCAAACAAAAATCCAAAGATAACATCCTTTCCCTAAAAAGCAGCTGTAAACCAAATGAGGTGAAGTCTGTGAAAAGTGTAGTTTAACTAACACGGGCTAAGGTGCTTTTTTGGACTACTGCTGGTCTCTTCTTCAAAAGCTCTGAGAGAACACAGAAATCGACTCCTGGGGCCGGCAAGGTAGTTCAGTGGACTAAGCGCCTGCTGAGGCAAGTGCAGGGACCAGCATTTGATCCCCAGCACCACATGCTGCGTCCCCCTCCCCACTCACACTGAGCCAGCCTCTAAGTGTTGTGGTGTACACCTGTAATCCCAGTGCTGTGGAGGATGAAAACAGATCACTATGAGTCTGAGATGCAGTAGTGAGACCCTGTACCGAATACATTAAAAAACAAACAAACATTTCCCAGGAGGCTGAGGTTATGATCCTCTTTACGAGGCAGGGCAGGCTCAAGCTGAGAATCACCTAGAGGGCTCCACTAGGACCCAATTTCCGCCCTATAAAAGATAATGATCCCGGCTTTCAAAACACTGAGAAGGAAATAGCGCAAAGTAAAGTGTCACTTTCATTTATATGTTATCATTTGAATGTCACAAGAAATTCCAGAAATGTGACATGCCCATTTTACAAATGAGACCAAATGACAGTAGAGAATGGAGCACTAAACTAGAGGCATAGCCCAGGTCCTCAGAGTCGGATTCCTGTGAGTCTGTGACATCTCAAAGCCCCTTACTTCTAAATAATTCATAAAATAGAGAGAGTGAGAGAGAGAGAGAGAGAGAGAGCGAGAGAGAGAGAGCACGTTGAATTCTCTCCCTAGGGCTTGCGTCCCAAGAGGGAATGGGGGGAAGAGGTCAGGGACCCACCTCGGGCTCCCACGGAGGACACGCTGCTCCGGTGGGACCGCTCAGCAGGGCCAGGCTGGCTGGGATTGCCCTCTGTCCCTTCCATCTGCAAAGGAAAAGAAAGAGCAGTTACTGTGGGGGCAGAGGTGAAGACCGAGGGTCTCCTCAAGCTCTCAGTGAGGGAGGAAGTCCGGGACTGTCTACAAGGCTCAACAAGTTCGCGGGAGGCCTGGAGCGCAGAGTGGCGTAGGGCTGCGTCCCTCTGCCCACCGCGGGTGGAGGCGGGTCTGAGGGGTCTGAGCTCCCCCAGCTCAGAGGGTCTGAGCTCGAGAGTCTGGGAAGGGGCAGAGGATCGCTCGTCCGGATGCCCTCGCAGGTCAGGGTGCGTTGCCGTCTGGGACAGTAAGCAGCCGAGCTCTCACCTCGCGGGCCACTGAGCCCATCACCTCCGGCCAGGATCTTACCCTAGCTCTGGTCCTAAATCCGAAGACCACCGCACTGGGAACGGCAACCCCACAGGACCTCGCGCACCGGCTGCGCCGCGGAAGCGAAGGCGGGAGGAAACAACAAGCACAGGACCCCGCCTCTCCGGCCATGGGAGCCAATCCGAGCTCAAGACCTTCGCGCACGCGCCCTGTCGGCGCCCTCTAGGGGCTGCGCAGGCCCGGAGTCCGGGGCGAGCGCCTGCGCCGTGTAGCCACGCCCCAGAGGGTGGAGGCTTGGACCGGTCCAGCCGGCGACCCCAGTGGTTTTCCACTACGTAGACACAGACCGTTGACTTGTAATAGGGTGTGGCGAAGATTCAAGAAAACTGCAGTTGGGAGTACGAGATCTGGCACTCCCAAGGTGGTCCCCGCCGGGAAATGGAGATGTTCTCTGCGCGCGGTCGGGCTAGGGGCTGGGTGGGGGCGTTGCTGACTGCCCCCTGCACCGCAGCGCCCCCTGCTGTGAGGGGTGATGGGATTTTGGTTGTGGTTAGGAGACTGGGTCCTCCTCATGTGCCCCTTCCTCTCGGGGTCTCAGTGTTCTCATCTGTAAAACAAGACTGGATTCTGCACATTTCAAAGGCCCACCCCAGGATCCGGTGAAATGTCTGTGTACCCGGCCAGGTACATTTTTTCCAGGGCGTGGCCATAGGAACCCTGCTATCTTAAGCACACAACCTCCAAGACCTTGAGGTGTTCCCGAGCTGAGGAGGCAGGCGGAAATCCAGCTGTCCCCTGGTGACTTCACCAACGTGTCCAGGCAGCCCCAGCGTGAATGTGCCTGAATCCAGCAAAACAAATCATGGATACATGCCCAAACCAGGGAAGAATTGGAGATTGTTCAAGTGACAACCAGTGGGCTTGGGGATCAGCAACAGGGGGACAAGTGGTTCACTTTGTTCCAATTCCCTGGCCCTGGGGTGGAAAGCTGCTCTATGGTTCCTTGCCTGTCCAAGGATCTTCTATGTTTGTTACTGGTGATACAGGGCCATCACAGTTGAACTATATAGCCAGCCCTATTTTTCATTTTGAGACAGGGTCTCACAAAGTCACTAAATTAGCCAGGATGCACTGAAACTTGTGATTTTTTTTTTTTTTTGTATAAACTTGTGATCTTCTGCCTCAGCTTCCAGAGTAATGGATTAGTTGTGTTCCATGATGCCCATCTTGCTTTTTTTGTTTTGGAGACATGGTCTCATTACATATTTCAGGTTGGCCTACAACATGCAGTGAACCTCCTACCTCAGCTTCCTGAGTCCTGGGATTGCAGGCGTGCACCACTGTGCCTCATTTTGTTGTCTTTTTTTTTTTGTATCAGGAATCGAACTCAGGACCTTGCTCCTGCTAGACAGGTACTGTGCCACTGAACTATATTCCTGGCCTTTAAAAAAAATATGTATCTATTTAAAAAAAATTTTTTTTATCCAAAATGTGTGTATTGGGATGGCTTCCCACTCATTTGATTGAGGGTACTGTTAGTGCTGCTTCCTCCTGAAGGAACATCCTTCTGTGAGCCTTGCTTTCCCCCCGTAGGCTGGCACAGGACAGTGGAGCAGCCGACACACAGAACTACTGTCTGCGTGGCTAAAGACCGTGGTGATTTTATAGCATCCTGGGCACTTCACGTCCATGAAGTAGGAACTGGGGCTCTGCACCAGGCGCTGCTTCTTGTGCTTCCTCTTCTCCTCCGGACAGAGATGAAGGAGATCTTTTGAGAGAGGCATATTCTCGTGGGGAGGTTGTCACCGCTGGAAAGGGCTAAAAATTGGGGCTGGGGGGATGGCTCAGTGGTCTAGAGCACCTACTTGGAACGGGCTTGGCAAGGCACAGGGACCGTGGTTCAATCCCCAGCACCACATGCCAGCCGGCCCCGCCCCCTGGTGGGCTGAGCTGGCCACACACACACACAATAAATAAATGTAATAAAAATAAATAAATGTTTAAAAAAAAAAGAAAGGGCTAAAAATTTTTACGTATTTGGTACAAGGTCTTACTACTCAGCTTGGACTCATAGTGATCCTCCTGTCTCAGCCTCCCGAGTGCTGAGATTACAGTTGTGCACCACCATGCCTGGTCTTTGTGGCTGGCTCAGCATGCCCAGGGCAGGCCTAGCACGGCATGTGGTACCAGGGATTGAACCCTGATCCTTGTACTTGCCTAGGCAAGGACTTAGACTGTTGAGCTGACTCTGTGACCCAATTTTATCTTTTTGAGACAGGATCTTGCTTTGCAGTTCGGGCTGGCCTTGAGCTCAGTTTGTAGCCCGTGCTGGTCTCGAACTGGCAGCAATCCTTCTGCCTCAGCCTCCAAGAGCTGGGATTATAGGGGCTTGCCACCACACCCTGCTTTATCTTCTGTCTTTGAAGCATATTTTCCCAGGACCATATCACACCAGCTGAGTCCACTGCAATGTCTTCCTTGCAGAGGTGACCCAAGGACTCAGAAAGCTGGTGTGTGGGCTCAGAGAAGAGTGTGCAGGAGCAGGCACCTCCTTCCCCCGCTCAGCTGTGGACCCTCACATCACTCAACCAGCTGGAGCAAAGGAGGAGCAATTCAGCATCAAGTGCCCAGTGGGTATGGAGCTTGTGCTGCAGCAGGGAGTGGAGACCCAGGAGAACAAGGCCTCTGCTTTAGGAAGTGTTCTTTATGGTTTAACTGGGGGAACGGAGGAGGAGGGAACAGAAACTCAGGTAACTAGAGTGTTTAAAAGTACCAAAGGTGGTAGCATTGCTGATAAGAGATACAAAATACTGCAAACATGAAAAATTCTTCAATTCCTGCTCAACCTACTGTGGACTGGACATTGGGACAAGCCCTCTTGTGTGTTTCCTGATGTCACATCTGGGGGATGAGCTCTGCTGCTCAGCGGGGGGAAGCAGCTCACCAGGATACTAATGTCCATATTGTAGTGCTTAAATGTACAAGGTTTAAGGAAATGAAGACTACTGGAAAGGAAGATAAAGGGAAGATTCCTGGCAAGAATCATGGTCAGGTTATTGAGTATGTTGGCACATGCTTGTAATTTCAGTACTCAGGAGGCTGAAACTAGAGGATCACCATGAGTTCAAGACCATCCAAGGATACATAGTGAATTCAGAGACAGCCTGAGCTACATAATGAGGTCTTGTCTCCAAAAAAGAATCAGTGTAGGGGGTTCTGAAGAGATGGGCGACCCGTGGGCCCTTTGTTCCTACTTCTTTATAGGAGGTCAGAAACCCTTCTGTTCAGTTGGAGAGAGACAAGAGCAGAGCTCTGTTCTGTAGTGGTGGAATCTGCAGAAGACCAGGGAAACAACAGCAGGGCTGTTCTCTCTGTCTCTGTCTCGTCTTATTTTGAGTCAGGATCTCACTATGCAGTTCAGGTTGGCCTTGAACTCACTTTGTAGCCCAGGCTGGTTTCAAACTCACAATGATCCTCCTGCCTCTGCCTCCTGAGTGCTGGGATTAAGAGTGGGTTTCTCTTTGGCAAGATTTTGGGAGTAGGGAGGAGAGGCTGTTTTGAACTGGGGGAGGCAGTGGGATCGGGAAAAAGGGGATCATTCCGAAGTGAGTAGGAGGGACCTGCAGGCCCTTAGGGCTGAAAGGCTTGGACACCAATTGACTGGGCTGGTCTCTTTGGCAAGTGATTAAGAACCCACAGCCCACAGAAGGGGTCACTCATGTCACTTGGGTAAGAGCAGGAGGTGGAATTTGGAAGGCAGCCCTGTGAGAGGGCTGTGAGAGGCCAGACCTCATGGTTTTTAGGGTAGCTACCCTGGGAAGCTCCAGGCAGAAGAGATCAGAGACGAGACCTTGTGTCTGGGACCTGTCCACCCTCTAGGCAGGAACAGGCATGGACAGATTCTACTTCAGCCACAGTGAGAGGGGCGAGGGAGGCTGGCTGGTCCTTGAGCATCTGAGAGGAAACCAAGAGTTGCAAGGAGACCTGGGGTGCTTTGGGGCCTTTATGTTCCTGGGCTCTTAAGTGTTGGGGCTGGGGGTGATGCAGGGTTCAGGACCAGACTAGACAAAGATATGGCACCAGAGGCACTTTGGAAGGCAGACAGCTTTATTACGCTAGAAGGCTGGGGAACATACAGTTCCCAATCACAAGCCCTTTGTTAAGGTAGTCATTTCTATAGGTTTTCAGAAGGAAGTATAAAAGATGGATAACAGGATATTTGTTAATTGGTTATATAGGCTGGATAATATGTTGTCAGGCAGACTTATTTCACATAAGCTAATTGGGGTTACTATCATATGGTCAGGATTGCGGTGAACAGAAAGAATCAATTACTGTCCAAGACTGGGCTGAGCTGTCCTTGAAAACCTGAAAGCAAGTAAAACGTAACAAGATACATTGTCCTGCTACATTACACTTATCTTATAAGCTGCAGTTGGCTGTCAAAGCTAGCTACATTCTGTTATTTTCTAATTATGAGAACAGGCTGAGATTGCTTGTCCTGTTCGTGAATAGAATGTTAGAAATACAACTTTTAAAATTTCCTTTACATTCTGGAATTGTTTTTACAGGGGAGAAGTGGGCCTCAGGTGTGGCTACTAGCTGCTATTCCCTGATTTCACTCAATCATTCTTTCATTCATCCAGCTCCATTTATTGAATCCTTACCCTGTTCTGTGCTTTTTTTTTTTTTTTTTTGAGACAGGCTTTCATTATGTAGCCCAGGCTAGCTTCAAACTTATGGTTCTGCTGCCTCACCCTCCTGAGTGCTGAGATGTAGGTGTGTGCCACCATGTCTGGCTTACCACACAGTGTACACTGGTGGCCAAAGAGCCAGAGGTTGCTGTCTGCCCAGGAAGATAAGCAGTGGCTTCCTCCTGTGTCAGTGATTAGTGCTGGGGAAGGGGTGGGGGGAAGAGCCAGGCAGGGCCTTGGGCAGGCAGACAACAACGTTCCAGCAGTGGATTTGGGGAGGCCTCAGTGGGGAAGTGACATTTGAGAGGGTTTCCAGGAAGAAGGGACAGACAAGCAAAGTTTTAGAGACAGGGCCTAGTTGACGAGGAATCTGAGGCAGCTGGATATGAGGTTGGAGGAGAATGGGCAGCAGTGCTGTTCCTATTGTCTGGAACAGATTTGGATTCTCTCTCTCCATTTATGAAGGAATTTCTTCCTCACAGTTTGGAGGCCAGGAAACCCAAGATCTAGGTTCTGGCATCTGGCAGAAGGCCAGAGGGAGGGAGGGAGCGTGTGGGCACAGGGCAGCTTGGCGCTGTCACAGGCATAAACAGGGTCCTTTACACAGCCATCCCCGGGGGGTGTGGAGGCCAATGGAGACTGGTGTGTGACTCACTCAGAGGAGTCACAAACAACTCTTCGAGAAAGCAGAAGGCTTCAGGCCTGGTGAGTCACTTCTGGGAGTGACTCCTCTCCTTTGTGGGTTGTTCCCATTCCCGCCCTGGCCTGGGTGGCTGCTCCAGGCCCCTTCGAGCCAGGATGCCCCCTGGTGTCCAGGCTGCCCCATTACCTGGCCTGGTTGCTTGTAGGGTGGGCAAAGCCTGTGAATGGGGACTGTCCCTGGCTGAGTGAGGCAGCTGGGAAGGGGTCTGGCTAGCTGGGACTCAGTTGTGATCTGTAGCCACACAATGAGGCTGTTGTTGCCCAGGTGGAGGAATCAGGCCTGCTGTGAACTGTCACCCTGTCCCTGAGGTTGCCTGCTCCACACACCCCTTCTAATCTTAGGGTCACCAAGGTTAGCCTGCTCCCCTCTCCTGGTTGCCAGAGGCCTGGGCACTGGGCCACTTTCTCACCCTCCAGCCAGGGTTAAACATTAGTGGGAGATTATCTGCAGGCCTAGGTGAAGGAGAGGGGACAAGTTACAAGTTGGATAGTCTCCTTTGTGGAGCTGTGGAGCTGCCACCTGCTGGGTCCTGTCTTAGCCCAGACAATGCCTGTGGAGGAGTTTGTGGCTGGCTGGATTTCAGGTGAGACATTTTTCTTTCTTCTATCTATCACATCACACCTCAGGGTGGGTCATTTCCTAGAAAAGGCAGGCGACATAGGAAGAGCTGATACCAAAGCCTCATTCCCTGACAGTGCCTCGAGGCCATCTGTTCTCAGGGTCTCCTGCTTGTGACCAGCAAGGAGGAGGCACAGGCTTGGGGAACTGCTTCTGCATCCCAAGGCTTGTTAGCTTGGCATGCACTGGGGGCTAGATGGTCCCCAGGTGTGGTCCCATCCTGTGGAGTCCAGAAAGAAGTCTACCTTTGACCCCATCTGCTGATCAGATAATGAATGGGTGCTATTGCCCGCTAAGTGTGCACCCAGCCCAGCTCCTGATGGCCTTCCTCTCTGGGACATCCTAAATGACTCTGGAAGCTGTGACTTCCTCCATGCTCCAGAGCAATAGGGAATTGGGGAGTTGGGGACTCCTTCCCTGGGGCCAGCAGGACTCCTGGATGGTCCTCCCAGTTTCAGTGAGGGGCTGCAAGTTCCAAAAGGGCAGGGTCTGCTCTGGATCAAAGTTATAACACTAAGATGGTGCCCGTGCCACCCGTGCTTCCTTTCCATGCTGCTCAGGAGGGTCAGGGGTCTCTTCCCAGCCCAGTGCCTCCAAGCCCAGTGCCTGGCGCAGGGGCTGGGCACAGGTAGCTTTGGACGTAGGTTGGAAGGTGGGCAGCAGGTGTCTGATGAGGCTGGGCTCCTCTCCTCTTGCTTGGATCTCTCTCTCCTATCTCAGACTTGCTTCCTGGCCTTGACACAAGCCTGCACTCATAGTACCTTCTTATCACCACAGGAGCTCTGGGCCTGGTCATGGGCTACCCTTTTGACACTGTAAAGGTGAGTCTAGGAGAGGCACCTGAAGGGTGGATGGTCCTGCTTGAAGCTTTCTGCCTTGCCAGCCTCCTGGCATCCTGCTCCTGAGGCAGCGAGCAGAGCTGGTTGGCTGGCTGTCCTATCTGCCATGTCTTCCCTGTCCAGGTGCGGCTGCAAACCCAGAATACATACCGGGGCATCATGGACTGCATGATCAAGATTTACCGCCATGAGTCGGTGGGTGGCTCTCTTCCTTGGGGTGGGTAGCACCAGGGGCAGGAGGCACCAGCTCCTTCTCCTGTCCAGCAGGGCTCTGCTGGAAGAGAGAAGATGTTTAAGTCTGGGACCCAGGTGGTCGAGTAGCAGCCGCTGGGTGGAGCCATCCCAGCCTCTCTTGTACCATGTCCCTGGGCCAGGGCTTGGGGTGGTGCAGGCCAGAGGGGGATCTGGCCAAGGCTGGAAAGGACAGGGGAGGTCCACTATACCTACTCTAGTGCCACCTCATTGCTCTGCAGGTCCTGGGCTTCTACAAGGGAATGAGCTTCCCGATTGCCAGTATAGGCATGGTCAACTCTGTCCTGTTTGGGGTCTATAGCAACACCCTACAGGCCCTCACATCCACCTCCCACCAGGACCGGCGGGCCCAGCTGCCCAGCTACACCTGCATCTTCATAGCAGGCTGCACCGGTGGCTTCCTGCAGGTGAGAGGGCAGAGTGTGGGCGTGCAGTGGCGGTGTGGTGACAGCCAGAGGATCTGTCCCCACCAGCTTCCTCTGACAGCCCACAGCCATAGAGGGACAGGCCTTGCTGAGGGGCACAGGTGCTACTGCTCACCTATGGGCTGCCTGGCTGCAAGCCTGGGAGGGGGATCACACGGGGGGGGGGCGCAGCACCAAGAGGTGACCTTGGAGAAGCAGCAGGAGGGGTCTGCCAGGCTCAGAGCTGCAGGAACACGATTCCTCTCAGTGACTTTCGACTCCAGTAGAATAGCTCAGGCCTTGTGCGTCCCGATGCAGCCCTGTGGTCATCTACCCTGCCCAGCACAGCCTTTGCCTGCAGGGCCCTGGCCCTGGATCCGGGAGCCTCACCTAATGTCTGGGTCACGGCTCTCACTGGGAGAGGCACAGGACATTAATCATTAAGTCACTGTAACCATTTAAGTTGCTCTTTGTCCTCAGTGCTGTCATGTTCTTGGAGGACTAGGGTGGAGATAAAAGTGTCCTCCAGGCTCCAGAAGGAATCTGAGTCAGATGAGGTCTCCGAGCATGAAGCAGGACATGAAGCCCAGCACAGTCGCACAGCCCCTCCCTGGCTCGAGCCACCTTAATGATCCTGACCTGTCTTCTTTTTTTAGAGCATTGAGGACTGAATCCAGGGTGTTCATAAGGAGTTATATCCCTCTTGTTTTACATTCCTTTTCTTTCTTTCTTTTTGTCTTTTTGAGACAGTTTTGTTGTTGTTTTTGATGGAACTGGGGATTGAACTCAGGCCCTTGTGCTTGCCAGGGAAGCGCTTATTCCACTGAGCCATCTCCCCCGCCCCTTGAGACAGGGTTTCACTTTCTAGTCTAGGTTGGTTTCAAAGGAATCTGTGGGCCTTATGGCTCAATTATTTTTGGTACTGGGAATCGAACTCAGGACCTCGTGCTTGCCAGGCAGGCACTGTGCCACTGAGCTACATCACTGGCAGAAGACCTGCACTTGCTTTTCTTTTTTAATACCTGGAATCGAACTCAGGACCTTAGGCTTGCCATGCAGGCAGTGTGCCGCTGAGCTATCTCACTGGCCCCCAGCTCTTGTTTTATGACAAGGGCTCATCAAATTGCTAAACTGCCAAACTGGGCTCAAACTCATCTTACTGCCTCAGCCTCCCACAGTGCTGAAATGCCTGGTGTGTGTCATCACACCCAGAAACCCTGATACACTTCTTGGGGCATGTGGTGCAGAGTAAGACCAGAGGACACATCAGGGTGCTCATTCATGTGAATTACTGATTAATGAAGCCCCAGAGGTCCTGGCTTCTCTTCTGCCCCTTCTTGTGTGAGGGGTGTGGGATTGCATATGCTCTAAATCCTGAGACTTACCTCTCAAAAACAAGGAAGAGAATTGAGACTGTGCATGAAGTGACCTGACTTAGGCTGAGCCAGGCCTGGTCCATCAGTCACACCGCTGAGGACACTGTGGAAGGTGGCGGTGAGAGGCAGTCAGGTGTGGGAGAACCGTACCAGAGCTGGCTGAGTGCTGGTCAGCCCTCGGGCCCGCCGCTGCGCTGACGGGAGCTGGGAGCAGAGGCATGCTGTATTTATTTATTTTTCACTTTGGAAGTTATATGTACTTCCCCTCTATCACCATCATGGCCAGCTGAAAATTCTGTGTGTGTGTGTTTCATTTTATTGGTACAGTTTAGATATACACGATCACATTCATCATAGGGAATTTGTACCTGTAGATGATATATCTTTTCTTTTCTTCTTCTTCTTCTTCTTCTTCTTCTTCTTCTTCTTCTTCTTCTTCTTCTTCTTCTTCTTCTTCTTCTTCTTCTTCTTCTTCTTTCTTCTTTCTT